AAAAAAAAAAAAAAAAAAAAAAACTTAGAATTGAATAGAGCTGAGTTGTACAATCAAATTGAGCCATTAAGGAACAAGAGCTTTTCTCCTAACAAACATGCCGCACGTGGGAACATCTGCCAAATGGTGGACAGTAAAGGTTTCAGTTTCCTTTTTTTATTTTTTTTACCTTTTTGGAAAAATAAAGATTATTGTTCTGATAATTTAAAAAAAAATTAAAAAATTAAAAAGTGGGTTCTAATTCGGCTGCTTGATGACATTCAATTCAACCATGCAAACAAACAACTTTTTATTAGAAAATTAAAAAAATTAAAAATAAAACCCAAAATTAATACAAATATGCCAAAGTTCAAACCTTTCCTCCAAAACCTCCCTTCATGTCCACACTATCTCTTCCTTTTCTTCTTCTTCTTCTTCTTCATCAAACATGAAACTGAACCGCCTCTGTTTCCTTAAACCGGCGGACTTCGTCCAGCCACTTGATCCTGAAGAACTTCAAAAACCCACCAACAGCAATGAACAACAACAAAACAAACAGCATCGCAATCGAGATTGTTGGTCTCAATTTCAAGCCTTCCTCCGAGATTCCTTCTTCAAATTCCAAGACCTCAAAAGGGCTACTTCCTGTTGCTACGGCGGATCCACACAGTTGACGCCGTCCGTCGGTGGCGGCGGCGTGTTTCACGACACCGATGGGGTGCAGCTTTCTGAGAAAGTCGGCGGTGACAACCCCAGAATCTTCAGCTTTGCAGAGCTCTATATTGGAACCAAAGGGTTCTGTGCAGAGGAAATTCTTGGCAGTGGGGGATTTGGGAAAGTTTACAGAGCGAATTTGCCTAGTGATGGAACTCTGGTGGCTGTGAAATGTTTGGCTGAAAAAGGGGAGAAGTTTGAGAAGACGTTTGTGGCGGAGCTGGTGGCGGTGGCCCATCTCCGGCATCGGAATCTTGTTCGGCTTCGGGGGTGGTGTGTTCATGATGACCAGCTATTTCTTGTTTATGATTATATGCCTAACCGGAGCTTAGACAGAGCACTTTTCCGGCGGCCGGAGAACGGCGGGACGGATCTGAGCTGGAAACAGAGAGTGAAAATCGTGAGTGGCTTGGCTGCTGCTCTGTTCTATCTGCATGAGAAATTAGAGACGCAGATCATTCATAGAGATGTTAAAACCAGCAACGTGATGCTTGATTCCAATTATAACGCTAGGCTTGGTGATTTCGGATTGGCAAGGTGGTTAGAACATGAACTTGAGTACCAATACAGGATGCCGTCGATGGGCCACCACCAGTTCCGACTGGTGGAAACCACTAAAATAGGCGGCACAATTGGGTATCTCCCACCGGAGAGTTTCCAGAAAAGAAGCATTGCCACTGCAAAATCTGATGTTTTCAGCTTTGGAATTGTGGTTCTTGAGGTGATCTCTGGGCGGCGGGCAGTGGACCTGACATGTCCTGATGATCAGATTATCTTGCTCGATTGGATTCGAAAGCTCTCCGATGACGGTACGCTGCTGCTCGCCGGTGATAGCCGGCTGGTAGATGGGTCTTATAACCTGATTGAAATGGAGCGTTTGATCCATTTGGGTCTTCTCTGTACACTCCATAGCCCACAGTATAGGCCAAGTATGAAATGGGTTGTGGAAGCATTTTCCGGTGGTCTGATGGGGAATTTGCCGGCTCTGCCATCGTTTCAGTCTCATCCTCAGTACATTTCTCTGTCTTCCCCCACCGGTGGCAGTACAACTAAAAGCACTAGCAGCAGCATAACCACGGCGACAAGATCAGACACAACAACAATCACAGTTAATTGCTCAGATTTTGCATCAGCCAATGGAGAAACCATATATATGACTGCTGAGAATGGCATCAATAACAATTATACCAACAATTCTGATAGGTTTCTTGACAGATCAAAAACCATTCAAATGATTGAAACGCCAAGAGAAATATCATTCAAGGAGATTATTTCAGCCACCAATAACTTCTCCGATTCGCAGCGGGTGGCCGAGCTCGATTTCGGAACTGCCTACCATGGCTTCCTTGACAGCAGCCACCATGTTCTAGTGAAGCGGCTTGGAATGAAAACTTGTCCTGCGCTAAGGGAGAGATTCTCGAATGAACTCCTAAACTTAGGCCGGCTTCGCCATAGAAACTTGATTCAGCTTCGTGGGTGGTGCACAGAACAAGGGGAGATGCTTGTGGTGTATGATTATTCAGCTGACCGTCTCTTGAGCCACCTGCTTTTCCACCATGACAAAGGAGCTTTACAATGGTGCCATAGATACAACATTATCAAATCTCTGGCTTCTGCTATTCTGTATCTTCATGAGGAATGGGATGAACAAGTCATCCACAGGAACATAACTTCATCAGCTGTTATACTAGATCCTGATCTTAACCCAAGGTTGAGTTCTTTCGCTCTTGCAGAATTCTTAACAAGAAACGAGCACGGCAATCATCACGTAACCATAGATAAAAGCAAATCAGCTCACGGGATTTTCGGGTACATGTCGCCCGAGTATCTAGACTCTGGGGATGCTGTTGCGACAGCGGATATATACAGCTTTGGTGTAGTGGTGCTCGAGGTGGTAACGGGACAAATGGCCGTTGATTTTCGTCGTCCAGAGGTATTGCTAGTGTGGAAGGTCCATGAATTCCTCTCCCGGAAAAGACCACTGGAAGAATTAGCTGATATAAGACTGGATGGAGAATACAACCACAAAGAACTGATGAGACTGCTGAGATTAGGAATCGCTTGTACTCATTCAAACCCAGATTTGAGACCAAAAATGAGGCAGATAGTTAAAATACTAGATGGAAATGACCAATGCTTCTCTAAAGAACAAAGAATGGAAAGCATAGAAGGTTGGAAACAGAGAAATGCAACTTCTCTGTCACTGGTTAAGAGGATCCAAGCTCTGGGAATACAGTGAAGAACTCTCTTTTTCTCTTCTTTCTCTCTCTTTGATCTCTACACAGAGTTCTTGTTCATATTTTGTAATGTAGATAACAGTCAAGTATGCCTTTTGATGTTCCATTTTGAGTATCAAGATAGCAGTCAATTGTGTTCTTCTTGCATGTCCACAGCCTTAGACCAATAGCCTTTTCCAATCTAATCATTGAATTGCAATAAAAAAACGGGAAACTATCCATACTTGGTGCTAAATAATGGCAGCATAATCAATAAAAGGCTCTTCTGCCTTTTTAACTCGCATGATTACCACACAGGCATTTCATCGAACATCTTGAGTACATGATGTCAGAATCCAGTCTTACACACTCGAACAATTCAGAAAACAAACATTAAATAATGCAAAGTTCATTAGAGAATTGAGGTATTCATAGAGTTCATATCAAAATGCAAGCGCATTGAGAGTAAACAAGATCAGAAAATTTACTCAAAACTGCATAAAAGGTCAGAAAGTGGAAGTAGAAGAAAAACCTGCCGCCCCATGAATCTTCAAAGGCCATTGACCGTTGAAAAGAGAGATTTAGGAATCGTACAAAAAGCCTGACGTTTTCTTGATTGGCCAGCGTCAGATAAATGAATACACAAAGAAAAGTCGTGTGGTTTTTATAGATGCCATTTGAATTTCAACGATCAAAACCAAATCCAGCTAAATTTTACTTTCTGGGTTTTGATTTCTTCAAACATGTTCCTACCAAATTTGATCAAACGTGAAATTGGCCGAACTGAGCCGATTTCAAATCTTTGAGGGTAAATTGTCAAATTTGGAAGATTTTTTTATGCCCAAACATTCAATTTTGCCTACATGTTCTTAATAATCATTTGATACAATTAGAAAATTAGCTAAAACATAGTTAATTATTATTATATATATATATATAATGAACAAGGAAATGTATTTTAACCGTCACCATTGATTTTATTTTTTTTTATTTTTCATATTTATTTAATTAATATTTTTTTGTATCACATCGTTAAATCGTCATTGAATATTTAAATAATAACCTTAACGATTGCTATGAATCTCAAATTTAAAATTTATAAGTCAAATAAATATTTATCAGTCAAATCTTAAAAAAAAATATATTTATAATTATAAGAATTATTAATTACAATCATCAAATAATAGTTAAATTTAATTATTAGGTAAAATTATAAATCTAATCATGCATAGTCCTATTTAATTTATTTATCTAAAATAATTGTTTAATTTTAATATATATAATATTATATTAGTTAGGTTTTTGCCAGTGAAAATTAGAGATAAAACTATATTTTCAATGTGTATATTAAATTTTGAGAATAAATAAAGAAAAATTGACTAAGAATTGTATTTAAGAAAAAAAAATTGACTATTATTTTTATTTTTTTTGCCGAATTTAATTTTAGAATATTATAAAATAAATATTAGACCAAGTCCAAATAATTATTCAACGCNAAAAAAAAAAAAAAAAAAAAAAAAAAAAAAAAAAAAAAAAAAAAAAAAAAAAAAAAAAAAAAAAAAAAAAAAAAAAAAAAAAAAAAGGAGAGGTTTAATTTGGAAAATAACCTTAAAAAAAATTAAGGCCTCTGCGGCATACCGACGTTGATTCTTTTGAGGCGAGTGGTTGGGAGTTAGTCCTCTGGCCCTACTCTGATTGGTCAATTTTTCCTTACGTGTCCAATAAGGCTCCTCCACGTGTATGGTGTCGATTAGACCACGTAATGGTACCTCCTTCACTACCTACCCATCCCCATCATCCCCGCCTTAGATATTTAGAACACCACCGGTGGAGGAGGAGGAATTTCCGTCGTTCACACTGTGATTTGACAATTTTACCGAGTAATTTTGAAATTCAAATATTAGTATAATTATTTATTAATGTGATCTAAAGCGTATTTTATGGATCTAAATAAATCATTAAGCAACCTATCAAATTATCTAATTTTCTATAATTTTACTCAATATCATGTCATTTTTAAATTTATTAATGAATTTTTCTATTACAAAAAATAAAATTAATTTTCCCCACGAAATAATTCGTTGGTTAGTGGAAAAAAGTGATTTCGTAAGGGCAGTGATGTCAAAATGCCTTTTTTCGAGGGAATATTTAATAAAAATTAACAGCCACAAGAAACATAACACGTGTCCAAACCCCTGCATTGTCCACCACTATTTTTTTTTAATCCAATTCAACCCACATTAAATTGTGTTTATCTTCAAATTTAAATTTGAATAAATCGTATTAATTGTTTTAAAGTAAAATAAATTAAGGTGAGCGATTGAAACATTCTTTTAGAAAAAAAAATAGATTTTTTTCCCTCAAACTATACAAAAAAAAAAAAAAAAAAACAAAAAAAAAAACAAAAAAAAAACAAAATTAACAATTTTTTTTCTTAAAAAAATATTATTATATTTTATATTTAATTAAATTATAATATATAAAAATAAAAAAAAATTTACTATGTGGGTCTTATTTTGTTAAAATTTTATATAATGGGGATAAATTTGTAATTGCATTAGCTAGAATACAAATTGCAAAAGGTGTAATTTGCACTTTTCTTTGTGGGCCAATTTCATGTTAAATTATTGATACAATGAGAATTAATTTGATTCATATGAGTAAGTCAACTATTTATTGGTGGGTTCGAATATATATATATATATATATATATATATATATGTTTTTATTCCGACTTCAAACTCTGTTTTTTTTTTAATAATTTTATTTAAGAGATGATAAAAAGTTAAATTGAATGGCTACCTGACTTCAAAATGATTTTAAAAAGCTAGTGAATTGATATAGTGAATGCCGGGTTAGTGTTAAGACTCTAATTTACATAGTCTTATTAGACAAAGACCCTAATTTACATAGTCTTATTAGACACATATTTTCTTCGAAACCGGTGATTTTTTTATATATAAAGAAAATACATGGAGATTTGAACCTTTTAGAGGACAAAAGGAATGAATTTAAATTTGGTACTTAACGGCCTCGACATTCTCCTAAAACGGCTATATGGCTTCAAAATGGACTTAAAACCCTTTTTAAGTCTCTCAGTCTTCATAGTCTAAATATATATCTCTCCTAATATTATAGGGTTACATTTTCTTATGTATTAAATGTTTAATTAAATATGAATATGAAATTTATTTACCATTTGATTACAAACCCAAGATATTCTTAATCTTCGTAATAATCTTAGAAATACAATGGGTTGAGTTGGTGACCTAAGCAACTCAAAAAGAGTTCTCAGCCGAACCCAAGCCTCTATTTTTCAGCTGGGTTAGGTTTTGGGTTCTTTATATTAATACTAAAATATCATAAATCTCAAATACCAATCGAACTGCTGAGACCATTTTGTTGCTTAAGCTTGAGAAAACAACTGCTGAGGAGTGTTCAGACATGATCAAATGACAACCAAGTAATCAAACATGTTTTGGTCGGAACAAACAGGCATGATGAATCTACTAACATAACATAAATTATCAAAAACTTAAACTAAACTGAAGAATTCTAGAAGCATACAAAGAGTATCATGTCTACTAATAGTGATGAGTATTACCAAAATTGAAGAAAGTAACTGTTTCCAAAGTAGAAAACACAAAATTAGTATTTGATAGGAGCAATGACTTCAAGTTGGGGTCCAAGCTTCTCCTCCGCAACCTTCTCAGCTTTAATTCTCAGCTTATTTAGCTGTTTCTTTTTCTCATATGCAGCCTGAGCTCTTTCCTTTCTCTTCCTCTCAAGCTCCTGCATTCGAATAAGAAATCAATATTCAAGAACTCACCTTCTAAATCACGGGAAAATCATCGGGTGGAATCCATAGATGAAGGGCAGGACAAGGAGAAAGGACGGGCCAAATATAACTAACAATCTCCCCACTAAGATATTTGCTTAACCCAACTATGGTTATATGTGCTTCAATTCATAATTAAGGTTGAAAAAGAAGACACGAGTAAGTGTGCCAGCAAGGACACTAAACCCAAATGGACACGAGGAAGTGTGCCAACAAGGACACTAAACCCAAATGGGGTGAATTGGGAAATCTCACATTGATTGGAGAAGGGAACAAGTGCCAGCGAAGACGCTAGCCCCAAGAAGGGGTGGATTGTGAGATGCCACATCGGTTGGGGAAGAGAACGAAGCATTCTTTATAAGGGTGTGGAAATCTCTCCGTAGCAGACGCGTTTTAAAAACCTTGAGGGGAAAGGTAGTTACAGTTGGTTTGGCCCCTTTATCATGATCTAATGGTCTCCCCACAAAGATATTTGCTTAACCCAACTACATAACCAGGTCAAATGTGCTTCAATTCATAATTAAGTTCAAACTTGTATGATCAAAACAATACTAAAAATTGATGATCACCAGGAAAAAGCGAATATAAAACCAATGACAAAACAATAAAAAAGGTGAACAAACAACGCCCAACAAGCATGATTAGCATACATAACTCAGCCCAACAAGCAGCAACATGAACTCGTAAAAACATTCCCAATGAAATTCATTAAGACATAGCTGACTAGTTTCAATACAGATAATATTCTCACCTTGATAGTATCATAATGATTCCATCCCACCTCGGAAGAGAGTCTGCCCAACAAGCAGTACTTATGTCCGGCTTGAAGCCTCAAAACCCTGAATTGCGAAAGCAATGTAACCAATTCGTAAATATACGATCTTACAATCAGACTAAAAAAAACATCAAAACATAAACCCACAAATCACAGCTTACTTAAGAGCATCAGGGATGACCATCTTCTTTATCTTATCATACGGAGGAGGAACACCCTCGTATGCCTTTAAACGGGCAAGAGCCGCCGCACCACGCTTAGTCTTATGAGGAATCATCCTACAAAACCCCAGTCGGTATATTCATTCCCAATCGTGAAGAACCAAATCGAAAATATGTAAAATGGTTAAGAAAAGAGCAAAACAATACCCACGAATGGTGCGCCAGAGGATCTTAGCGGGGGCACGGAAGTGAATGGGGCCGTGAGAGGGCTTGGTGTTCATGCGCTTCCTCAGGAAACGCATGTACTTCATCTTTTGGCGGACTAATCCACCGGAAATGCAGATCTCCTCGCATCGGACAACGACAACTTTCTGTCCATTGAGAAGCTCTTTGGCAATAATGGAAGAAAGCCTT